GCAATCTACAAACGTGCAAAGTTTCCGGTTTCCTGGTTCTTAGTAGAGTATTATTAGTCGTATTTTTTTCCTGCTGTTGGCTTGATGCCAAGGTAACCTAGAAATTAACAAAAATTATACAACAAATTTGATTTTCCCATTTACTAAGAAAACTATAAGATAAATAATAATAAAAAAAAAAATCTCACCTATTTACCAATTAGATAAATGCTACAAGAAAGTTTTTAAAAAGTTTTGTTTGGAGTAAGGTTTCTGGTAAAATAACGGTTTACAAACATAAACAAAAACACATCAACTAGTTAAAATGTTTCGATTATTTTCCACCTTAAAAGATGCAAATTTTTCGTCTGATTTTACTTTATAATTATATTACTTTATTTTAATTGAACAACTTTGCAAAATCCCTAATACTTTTTATAGTTTTTTTTTTTTTCACTTTTTTGTAAATTGCGAATGCTCGATTCGCAATACGTTTTCTAAAAATCTCGAAACAAAAAACAGCAAATGACGATACATTAATTACATTTTTTCGATCAGGTACCGGATTTCTTTGGCTGCCTGAGAAAAACCACGTCTAATGTACAAACCTTACCAGGTTACCGTGATCCGCCCAGAATCGTTTGTCGATTGCAATTTGACGATTTTAATATCTATAAACTAAAAACGTTATATCCTGTAAGTATTTACCCAACTTTCCACCTAAGACATCTGAGCCTAATCGCATGGTTCCTGTTTACGCCATTACGGGCCTTTTGGCTTTCCTGCACATTTTAAACATGGATATTATGTTTTTATCAGCGTTTTGTCGTGATGTACGGATAATTATACGTCATTTACACTTCTATTATTATGTGAAAAACGTGACGCACGTAACAAAGGTTAACAATCTGATTTCTTACAACGTAATTAAACCTGAAGCATAACCATGATTGCATATCCATAACATGTTTTTCCGCATAGTGGAGAAAATAAGCAAATTTTGTTATCGCATTAAATTACGATTGACATAATATGTTTGTAATGTATGTATGTATTAGCCATTATTTATGATATATTATAATATTTTCAAATAAGTTATAATATACTTATGTAAATTGTTTGAAAAGTATAACAATTTAAATTTTATAACATCAGCGACCGGCGGTGGCGGCGTAACAAATTTAAATAAGTAGGATTTTTTTTTTTTTTATTGCTAAAAGTTTTGATTAATATTATATACGTAAGTAATGTTATTCGTTATATTATATAATGTATACGATGAGATATCTTTTATTACTTTTGAAAAATTGTTTGCATTTTGAATTAACTCTAAGAAGATTTTTATTATTTTCGAAAACTCCTTTAAGGAATTCATTGCTATTATACATAATATTTGTTTTATAATCAAAGGCTGTACATATAATAATATAGCCTGTAGAGATTGTCCCCCCCATCCCGCTCTCCCACTTAAGTTCACTAGCGAATATTTGCAGAGCATCTCACAAAGACCTACAACACTAAGTGCAACAACGCTTGAAAGCTTTAGGAATAAAAAATATTTTCAAATAAATGCGTGTTTTGCTCTTTCGATTTTTCGATCGGGCCAATTCAATCGATAGATTAGGTTATGATATTATTTTCGTGTTAAATGTATTTCTATATCAATTTATGACGGTTTTTATTGTTTCGAAATTAATTTAAGAACATATTACCGATACACATTGTAGTCTTGTTTTAAGAAACTATACTATTTGCTCTTACAAAATAAAAACGATTAATACCTATTATATTAGGTATGTATATATTTCGGCGTTTAAATACATCTATAGGCATATAACATTTTTACTCCGTCAAGTTATTCTCTTCGACAAAAAATGGTATTTATTAATTATTGTTTTCCTTATCGCAGTTACATAAATTATAATCAATTAGACTCCACTTAACTAATTGTTTATATAGGAAATAAAACATAGTTCTCGTATACTTTAACAGTTGCGTAAACACTATGAGTCACATTATTCTGTGACAACTGCAGTAACTTTACTGTGGTACTAGTATTTAGGACACAAATTATTTTTTTGTTACCGTTTTTTTTTTTTTTTAAATTGCATTACTACTGACGAACGATTTAATTTAATACGATGATAATTTATTTATAGTGTATTTTGAAAGAGCTATCATTGTGTTGTTAAAATAATTCGGTCGATACCACTCGCGTTGTATTTGCATGTACTATTTAACTCTGGATCAACTGTACCCAAAGTTTCAAACAATCAGATCAGATGCATGATGCTTTGCGCAGACGGTTTAGAGTACTTCGTATTTTTAGACGGTGTTTTGACTGAAACTAAACTTTGTTATTTCGAGAAATCTTCGCAAAATACACCGAATGAATGTATGAAAAAATATTTACGTTTTATTTTTCTTTATATATTACTTTTCAATGCATAATATCATATGTTAACACATAACATGATTTAACGCCCTAATAATAAATTTAAATACCGTTTTATGCGTTAATTTTTGTTTAACAAATAAGTTATTGATAGTTTAAAGTGTGAAAACAAGTGTATTACGTTTTATCTTGTTGATAATATATTATTGATTTGACTTGAATGTAGAAACTTAAAGCATAGCATAGGTTAGCTATTGGCTAGACCAAATGCACTCAAGTTCGGGAATTATAAAGTTGTTTCATAAGCTGATTGAAGTGATAAAAGCTAGGTTGAATATCAATATGAATTTAAACATGTTGTTACGAGAGTAAGTTATTTGTTTAGTTATAATATATCTATCACTGTATATTGAATTTTACTAAAGGGATGACATTTTTTACATAATTTTCGTCACAGTCCGATAACAGTATTGAACACAAGTGTTTGGATGCTAATAAATTTATTTGGTGTTTAAATACTTTTCAAAGTAATTTCACAAAATTTAAATACTAATAAGAGGACCGTTTTATTAGTTAATTTGCATGAAAAATTTGATTAGCAATAAAATCAATATTGTTTTGTTAAAACGAAGTTGGCAATATTATCATAATTTTCTATGAATACCTACCTATCTACTATTTAGTTGGCTATGTATTCCTAAGAGTAATTTATTGTACAACATTATTATTTGGAAAAAACTAAAAAAGTATTAATACGTAAAAGTAATATAGTAAAGTTTTACAGAATATATTAACTAGTTAATAATTTAATGTATACTAGCTGTATTAGTGAATATCACATTATTATCATTATATTTTTATTTCGTTTTGCCATTGAATACATAATAGACCAATTAATATTATACCCATCATGAATATTATAAATTATTATATATTAATATAAATTATCAATATTTAGAGATTTGACAGAAATTCTAAAACAAGTTCTAATGGTAGAGGCGGTGGAGTATACGTGCTATACGTGTTTCCATTAAATATCAATGATCTCGTATATGTATACCTATAGATACCGTTGAGCAGATTTTTGTTCACGTAAAAAAAATACCCAGAGCGAAGAGCTTATAATCGGGACTTGTTATATTCCGCCATCTAGTCCTATCAGTTATTACAATAATCATATCCAAGTAATAGAATATGTTCTATATTCTATTGGCAAAAAAGCTCGGATTATTTTATTAAGTCACTACAATCTTCCGAACATATTTATTTCTAGTGATATTCATGGTTTTATTGTTAACGGTGTTCGATCAGATACATCTGATATTCTAATTAGCTGCTTTTCGTTTTTTGGATTATACCAACACAGTACGGTGTTAAATGAATCCGGTTCTCAACTTGACTTAATTTTCTCAAACGATATTAATACATCTACCAATTAGTTGAATTCATTTCTAATGTATTAAAAAGTCCTATTGCGTCAACTAATGAAGATTCTAATTTTAGAGATTTTAATAAAGCCAATTAAGAATTATTCTGCGCAGCACTAAATTTAATGGATTTGAAAAATTTATTATCGCATAAAGATTTTGATACCGCCATAACTTCTTTTTATAAAATAACTAATGATATAATTGACAAATGTATACCTAAGCGCTATTCAAGGAAGCATCGCTTTCCTAATCAGTTTAGTGCGGAACTACGTAAACTTATTCAATCGAAAAACTCTGCCCGTAAAGCTTTTAAAATTTCCAGTTGTATGTGTAATTATCATACTTTTTCTAACCTCAGGGCCCAGTGCAAATTAAAAACCAGATACTGCTACCGTGATCACTTACAACACACTCAAAACTATTTAAAAAATAATTCACGCTATTTCTGGAAATTTTTAAAAAGAAGAAAAACGGTTAATGACTTGCCTACTCCAATGCAATTCGAAAATAATACGACTAATGAATCGCTGACAATCACTGATTTATTCAAAACCTATTTTTCTTCGCTCTATTCAGCTCCGCTATCTGGGAATAATTTCAATAGCAATATTATACCTATTAATAATTGTGTCATTTCTCTGCTCAACTTTTCTCCGGCAGATATTTTTACTGCCTCGAGTCAGATAGGTGACGATCCAGTATCAGGCTCAAGCTCAGTTTCAGCTATTTTGTGGAACATAAATCATTATTAAGTAAGCTAAGAAATGTTGGTTTCAACGGCAATGCTTTGAAATGGTTATCATCATATTTATCCAATAGAAAAAAAAATGATTAAAATAAAGAGTAAGGTCTCTACTTCTTTCTTGGTCACTTCTGGAGTCCCACAGGGAGATAATTTATTGCCTTGTAGACAAATTTCCTTTTATCTAAATCGAAACCCTCTGATAGTAGAATACGTCATAAATACTGCGAAATTAAAAAGAGCGCAGACAATTAGGGACTTAGGTATCTTATTTTCGTCTCATCTTTCTTTCAGTGATACTATTTTTGGTAAAGCTTACAGAAATTTAGGATTTTTAAATAGAAATTTTGCTGGGTTTAATAACATACACTGCTTAAGAACATTGTACTATACCTTAGTAAAGTCTGGTCTTGAATTTGGTTCAGTTTTCTGGAACCCTATGTAACTAGGCCTTATGACCAAAATTGAAAAAGTGCAACGACGTTTCTTTCTCATGATAGCACATAAAATTAATTTGGCCGGTTATCCTACTTCTGTAATTGAGCGTCAGTGCAGCATGAATTCATTACAATCTAGACGCAATTTTATTGATATACTTTTTGTACATAGACTCTTGAACGGTTCCATCGACTGTCCCGATTTATTGCAAAAAATATATTTTAACGTGCCACAAGTAAATACTCGTAGTTTTCGTTGTTCCTATATTGAACCCCACTCAGAAATTATATTCTGAGTAGCCTCTTAATCGGACCTTGAACTCTCGTAACGGTTTAAAAAATTTCGATTTCTTTACTGATAGTTTTTTTTAAATTAAAACAATGTATCCTTGATATAGCTTAGGATTTAGTAATGTAGTATTTAATTTATCTGTTTTTATATAAATATTATGTATACTGTTATATTGTACTGTTGCCCCACCGTGGGTGTAAATTATTTAGTAAATAAATAAATGATAAATGATCATGACTAATCAGATTTATACCCGTATTGTTTCTTGCTTACGCTGGCACAAATATCGTGGATGTGATACCTAGGTTTCCTGTATTAATCATATTAGTCTACATTTTATGGTTATACTTCCGTATTAGTTTTAATAACACTTTTCATTTATTATTGCGTTATTTGTTTCAATATTAGTTGAACAATTTGTGAATGAAATATTTTTTACCTCTATAAATCGTCAGACATTGCTCATAGTAATATTGAAATTGTTAAAATGTGAGAAAAAAACATAGTTACATAATAGATTATTATCAACATATATAGTATACAATCTTAAAAAAAATACTTGTATGTGTATGAAAATACTTTTTGAATATTCGTAAAATACATTTCTATAAAGGTTTTTTCAGTACGTTTTATGTGATTAATATAATAATAGTATATTAGTATTTTTATAGTTTTAGTTTCACAATGATGTTTATTTTTTATTTTTATCTGTTAAACAATTTTTTACCAGAAATTATGCTCCAATTTTTAAGTGTAGTACCTTTTTCGAAAGGAAATTTTGTTTGGGTGGTACTTTAGAAACGAAATTTTCAAAGTAATTAATATAATCATTGGGAAAAACCTAGAAAATACGTAGGTAGGAAAAACGTACATGTATAAAAGGAACTTCACTCAAAATCATTTTTCGTTAGTAATGGTTTATCGTTCCATACAGATTTAAATTAAATTCTCCTATATATCCTACCTACTCAACTTCTCACTTACAACAGTGGCTCACCCATCGTGTGAAGTACGTTCTTCTTTTTTATAAGTAGTTTTTATAAGACTGATGCATGGCGTTAGTATCAAGCAGTGATAGCATACCTAGCAAAATTGACACCCGGTGCAAAGAAAAATTACTGATGAACAAAAAAAATAAAGCTAAATCTGTTCGTTGGGCTCATTATATGTTTATTGTAAAATATTTAATTACAGTACTTTTCAAAAAAAACAGAACGATTTTTATTGGGGACCCTGTGGTGCATGTGCACTTCTATCACTCTCCATCACTTAGACAATCCAGGTATTAAGGATGTGCCTATATAGGGCTTCAACTTTCAACTTCTTCCTTTACCATTTACATAATCAAATTTCATATTTTTTTCGGAAGTACTATTTTAGTTTAGTGTAGTGTTATTGTATTTGACAAGTTATACATTTAGTGCTCGGTTATTGATTGTTTTTCCAACTTCGATAATACAAAATAGTTAAGAGGAAATTTGACTCTCGTCACAGAACTGCAGCTGCTTACATGCATTTATAATTATTGTATTATTTTTAATTAATATTATGCAATTATCATAATATAATTTATAGTACACAATAAATGCAATCAACTTTCGTGTATGAACTTTCATTAATTTATGAATGAAAAAAAAAAATTATAGATAGTGCTTCTGAAAGGATTTAGCAAATGGTCAAATAGTGTTTTAGTGTTATTCATATATCACAATAATTTGTTGGCGCTGATTTCAAGTTTCTAAGACGACATGAATAATAGGCCCACTTCTACAGAACTTTGCGAATGTGCGGGGGTCCTGTAGAGTTGACTTGCAAATTTCCAAAAAGAACTTACCGGGTACAAATCGTATAATAGTAAATCGTTTGGAAGCGTTTTCGAGTTTCTAAGATAACTAGATACTCGGTTAGACTACCTTTGCGGAAGTTAAAACCCGGCTCCTGTACCATATAGTTCAGTGAATAAAAATTAAAACATTTTTCATTTACACTAGCGAATAATTATCGTTACGACTTATGAATAACTCGCAAAGTTATAAGGGCGAACGTTTGAACTTACTATAAGCAGGTAGGTAGTGAGTTTAGTCAATGGGCCAACTTTATATTATATGATTTATGTTCTGTAATATTCATTATAATTCAAGGGATTCAAGAGATTTTAACTATAATATGAAACCGTGGTTCATCTTTTTGAGCGGTAAAAACTGACACAGATGAGACGAGAGATTTAGTGGATAATATAATTAAAACGCTTATGAAAAAATTATTACATTTTCTAATATTTCTACTAATCCCAAAAATTGTATCTACATAAAACCAAATAAAACTTTAAAACTCGAATACAACCATTTAAGAACAAATAAAGAGTTATTAAAAGCTCAAAACCACCAGAATATATTCAAAATTTAACCATGTTTAAAAAAAGCTAATATCAGTATTCTGTAAAAAATTCAGGGCGCTGCGATAACTTTTAATTGAATTATAAGAACAAAAAACAAAATCGAAAATAATGAAATCAAAAAAGCTCTAAATTTTCTCGTACTTCCTTCGTTTTTCTCAGATTTACAAATTATTAAGAAAATGAGAAAAAGACTTTCTTATTCATTAATTAAACAACATTTTCTTCCAGACGAAATTTTACTCTTGAAATTCAGAGCTAAATTTCTGGTAGAAAACAAAAATCGAAAAAATTTCAAAATAATAAAATCGTTAATGCCATATGTTAAAGTTTTTATTCTCGGCCTTTTCTAATTACTATGGAAAATCGCTAGGAAAATCAAAAAATTACCTCAATTTTATTTTTTGATGAGAGCTAGATTTCAGATAAAAAAATAAATAAAACACACATTATAGTTAAATCAATTATTCCTCGCTACTCTCAGAACGGTTTATTTATCGACTAGACGTTTTTTCTTCTATTATAAATATAATCATAATCATTGTTAATTTATCAATCACGCGGAATAACTGTTATTGAGAAGGTTCCAATATAAAAGTAGCAGGTTAAATCATTCACAAAATAAAACTTATTTATTATAAAATCATGTTACTGTAGGTTTGAAGTCGAAAATTCAAATTAGGTATATGTATTATAATATTTTTTCTATATATCTAGCTCTACCTAAGTGATACAGGTAATAATGTATTCGATTTTGCAACATCAAACGGAAACTGGCTCTTCGTATGATTTCATTTTTACACAGCTATAACATTATGGTTTACGGCTGGAGATGTTAGGGACATGAAAAATTGCAAAAGTTCTCCCAAAAATATGCAAAAATCTCGAAAGATCCGCTTAAAATTTATATTTTTTAAAATGTAAAAATAGAAAACTTTGAAAACGTTCCACACTAATGTATAAATAATAATAACGGTACATTGTGCCCAAAGAAGTTAAATTAAAAAATAAATATTTTATTCTACTTCTACAGGAACTTTCTTGAAATGCTATATTATTATCTCCTATAAAAACAATTTTTTTTTTTATACGCACAACAAAAATACATTATAGTAAAACCAATACATACCTCGCTACTCGGAGTCTAAAAATATACATCTATAGATAATATCGACAGCTACAAACCTATAATAATATGTAAACATGTTGCTTTGTTGTGAATACCTAATATTATAGAACGAAACTACACATCAAACAAATATTATTTTTGTTGTAGCAAAATTATAATAGATTATGCATTAGATTAGATGGTTTCCCTATCAGCTGTGACCCTGTGAATTCAACAATAAGCCGAAGATTTGTGGGTCACAAAAAAAATTAGGTGAACACTGAAAGAATTGTTGAATTATATTATAAGTCAAACGTATATATAGAACAAATAATAATTAAATTAAAATCGAACAACAATACGAATAACTATCGTTGGTTACCTAAATGTTCAGTTTACCTTATTACTTTCTATTTACTGTAACACTATGATTATTTTCAAAACATTGTAAATTCTCAAATACTATATTAAGTTTCTTTTCAAGCAAACATATTGACTTTATACATTTTAAAAAGAGAAATGAGTATACTGCGTTGGTCGATGGCAGAAAAGCTTGCATTATACGGGTTTATAATATAATTATTATAATGGTTTTTAATTATTTTGTGTGTTTAGGCAAATAGTGGCTGGCAAAAAATAAACTGTATATTCTCCCATCATTGACTGTAAAAAAAAAAAAATAACAAAAGTGTAATTGGTCAAGTAAATATTTCAAATATTATAACATGGAAACGTTTCGGCACGTACCTCGAAAGTGTTAACACTAAACCCCTCCCAAAAAAAAAACTCTCAAAAAATACACAGTTATATATTTTTTTAAATACTTACTTGTGTCTAGAAAATGTTTATTCGATTTCTAAATAAAGTATACAATTTGTATTAACGTCCGTTGTGTCTTTTTTTTTTTACCTGCACTATCTATATTATGCAGCACGTATACAATTTTAGAGTCCTAACAGATTGCCTCCCATCTGACCCACAAATTAACTCCCATGATTTTTTTTTAAAAAAAGGTTACTCGAATTGCCCACCCCTCCCAATTTTAAAAATATCATTCACTTGAATTGCCTCCTATTTTAGGTAAAGACCCTCTTGTACTCGAATTGCCTCCGATAGTTATAATTAATCGATTTTTAACTTTACATTATAGGAAGTATTAATAAATTAAATTCAAAGTCAAAGTTGATTGATTTAATTTTAATTAAGGTCAATAAAAAATAATAATATGTTATACAGTCAAAATCTTACGTTTGTATACACGTGATAAATATTCCAGTAAATAGATTGATACGGCAGTAGTAATTATTAATAATAAAAAATAATAAATACTGAATAGTCAATACATAAAATAATTGAGATGAAATGTGAAAATGATCGAAAAAAAAATATATTAAAATAATAAATAATCAAAACGTAAAATTAAATTTATTTATTAAGACAA